AAAAATTTGTGCACTCGGGGGGGGGAAGGGGGGGTCCCTCAGCCCGGCCTGTGCCCTCTCGCAGTCTGGGACCCCTCAGGAGATAACGACCTGCTGGCTTAGGCCTGCTCCTGGGTGGCAGAGGGCAGGCCCAATCCCTAGGTGCAGCCCCTGGTCGGGCTCAGAGCAGGGCTGATTGGGGAGTTGGGGCGCCGCCCCCTGTCATGCACAGAGCAGGGCGGATTGGGAGGTTGCGATGCCACCCTCAGTCACGCTCAGGGTAGGGCTGATTGGGGGGTTGGGGCACCACCCCCTATCACACTCAAGGCAGGGTCAATGGGGAGGTTGCGGCGCCACCCCCTGTGATGCACAGAGCAGGGCCAATCAGGGGGTTGGGGCACTGCCCCCTGTCACTCACAGAGCAGGGCCAAACAGGGGGTTGGGCACTGCCCCCCCCCCACCGTCACGCACAGAGCAGGGCCCATCAGGGGGTTGGGGAGCTCCCCCCTGTCACGCACAGAGTAGGGCCGATAGGGGAGTTAGGGCACCGCCCCCTGTCACAAACACAGCAGGGCGGATCAGGGGGTTGGGGCGCCGCCCTCTATCACCCACAGAGCAGGGCCGATCAGGGGTTTGGGGCGCCGCCACTGTCACACTCAGGGCAGGGCCGATGGGGAGGTTATGGCTCTACCCTGTCACACACAGAGCAGGGCCGATCAGGGGGTTGGGACGCCACACCCTGTCACACACAGAGCCGCAGGGATATCAGGGGGTTTGGGCGCTGCACCCTGTCATGCTGATCTGGTGCCAGGAGGCCTCGCGGCTCCGCTGATCCCAGTGCTGGGAGGCATATTACCCTTTTACTATATAGGATAGAGGCCTGGGGGCCGGCTGGTTTGCCCTGAAGGGTGTCCTGGATCAGGATGGGGGTCCCCACTGGGGTGCCTGGCCAGCCTGGGTGAGGGGATGATGGCTGTTTGCAGCTGGTCACACACCCTTCAGGGTGGGGTTCCCCACTGGGGTGCCTGGCCAGTCTGGATGAGGTGATGATGGCTGTTTGTAGCTGGTCACACACCCTTCAGGGTGGGGGTCCCCACTGGGGTGCCTGGCCAGTCTGGGTGAGGGGCTGAGGGCTGCTTTCAGGCTGACTGAAGCTCCCAACCGCTCCTTTTTTTCTTTTTTTTTTTTTTTTCTTCTGGGCCAGCTTTAGCTCTGGCTCTAGCTCTGAGGCTTCCGCTGCTGGGTTTGTTTCGGTTCTATAATCGAAACAATGTATAACTTCAGCTCTGAGATCCCAGCCGGCTATATTTGTTAGAATGTTTCAAACTGCCAGCTCAGAGGCCTGCAAGTCAGGCGGGGAACGTTGGAGTCTGCAGTCACTGGAGCAAGCAAGCCTCACGTTCGCTTCCAGCTGCCTGGCTGCCAGCCGCCATCTTGGCTGACAGTTAATTTGCATAAGGATACGCTGATTAGCCAATGGGAAGGGTAGCGGTCGTACGCCAATTACCATTTTTCTCTTTTATTAGTGTAGATATGTATGTTTGTTTTTTAATCCTCACCTGTGGATATTTTTCCATTGATTTTTAGGGAGAGGGAAAGACAGAGAGAAATATTGATGTGAGAGAGACACATCGATGGGTTGCCTCCTGCACAAGCCCCGACCAGGGCCCAGGCCGGGGAGGAGCCTACAAGCGAGGTGTGTGCCCTTGACCGGAATCGAACCCGGGACCTTTCGGTCGGTAGGCCAATGCTCTATCCATTGAGCCAAACCGGCGGGGGCAAGCATTCTGTATTTTTTTCCACCAAGAAATGTCTGTGGTTCTAATTTTCAAAGGCTTTTAAGTACTTACACTATCTTAGAGTTAGAAACCTTGTCTTTGATCTAGGATGTCAGGTCACGTTTTGATGAAGTAAGTGATGTAAGAACAGTCCCGTTTTTATCGGTGACTCACTGAGGTACAGAATTCAACTGCACGGTAATAAAGGTTCCATCCAGAGCACTCGTGGAATTCAAAGACAGCGTTGAGTTGGCCCCGAACCTGCTATTTTAAATCTAACTTAACGATCAAAAGCGTTTTACAGTCTGAGCTGGTGTGGTTTTCCATGACCTGATATCTTTGATGCTTCTCTCTTAAAAATTAACTGGCTCTTATTGTAAGCGGCAAGTTCTTTTTGCTTAATAATTAGGCTATTTCTTAGAACCTTTCTTGCGATTATAATGTTTTAGAGCAGTGGTTCTCTCAACCTTCCTCATGCCGCGACCCTTTAATACAGTTCCTCATGTTGTGGGGACCTCCAATTTCATGGTTACAAATTGAACATCATGAAAGCATAGTGATGAATCACAAAAACAATATGTAATTATAGATGTGTTTTCCGCTGGTCTTAGGCGACCCCTGTGAAAGGGTCGTTCGATCCCCCAAAGGGGTCGCGACCCACAGGTTGAGAAGCGCTGTTTTAGCGGCTTTGGTTTTCTTGAGCTGAGTTATAGAACGCTCTGTCAGTAAGTCATCTGGCCAGGGCAGCTTCGTGGCTGGGCATCCGTGCACATGTCCACATGTTAATGTCACATAAGATAGACAACACGAGCCTTATCTGGTAGTCATTATTATGCATGCCACTGGCATGGACACTAAAATAAAATGTTCAACATCATGAAGAGGCTTGCCCTAGCTGGTGTCACTCCATGGACAGAGCGTCGGACTGCGGACTGAAGGGTCCCGGGTTCGATTCCGGTCAAGGGTACATGCCGGGGTTGCGGGCTCAATTCCCAGTAGGGGGCGTGCTGGAGGCAGCTGATCCATGATTCTCTCTCATCATGGATGTTTCTATCCCTCTCTCCCTCTCCCTTCGTCTCTGAAATCAATAAAAATATCTATTTTTTAAAAAGAACAACCTTTAAAAAAATCATTAATGGACTTAAAAAAAAACCTTCAACAAATACTGTCCGCAGGGGCTGGCCATCTGAACTATGCTGAGGGACGGTTTTGATGAGATCCTTGTTTGTTGTAGAATGCTGGCAACAAGACCCTCACATCCGCCCGTCTTTCGCCTTAATTCTCGAGCAGCTGACCGCCATCGAAGGGGCGGTCATGACGGAGATGCCCCAGGAATCCTTTCATTCCATGCAGGACGACTGGAAGCTGGAGATTCAGCAGATGTTCGATGAGCTGAGAACAAAGGAAAAGGTGAGAACATGCATTGAGTTGCCTGATACACACACACACACACACACACACACACACACACACGCACGCACACACGCACACATATGAAGCTGATGGAGGACAGGGGTCATAAGCCATCGCAGGCATTCTTCTAAAATGTTTCCGGACATCAATATTTATTTATTTATTTATTTATTTTAAATTTAAATATATTTTATTAATTCCAGAGATGAAGGGAGGGAAGAGAGAGATAGAAGCACCAATGATGAGAATCACCGATCAGCCTTCTCCTGCATGCCCCCCCCACTGGGGATTGAGCCCACAAACTGGGGCATGTACCCTGATGAGGAATCTAACCATGACCTCCTGGTTCATAGGTCAGTGCTCAACCACTGAGCAACACTGGCTGGGCTCCCCAAGCATTCTTTTTTTTTTTTAAATATTATAATAAGTATTACCAAGGGTATTACATATGTGTCCCCCCCCCCCAATATTTATTGATTCCTGCTTTCTGGTTAAAACAAAACAGAGCTGTACTAGAAATGTGTGATCAGCAAAGAAAAAAGTAGCCCCGGCCGGTTTGGCTCAGTGGATAGAGTGCCGGCCTGCGGACTGAAGGGTCCCAGGTTCAATTCCGGTCAAGGGCTCGTACCTTGCTTGCAGGCTCCTCCCCAGCTCGGGCCATGGTTGGGGCACATGCAGGAGGCAGCTGATCAATATTTCTCTCTGTCTTTCCCTCTCTCTCTCACTCTCTCTAAAAAATCCATTGAAAATACTAGTATCCTCAGGTGAGGTTAAAAAATAAAATTTAAAAAAGTATCATTCCAATGGCATCCAAAAACTCAACTCCACAGTAGCCGGAATAATGATAAGAATGGTTGCTGGTCTCTCTCACCTGTTAAAAAACACATCAGGCCCTGACCGGTTTGGCTCAGTGGATAGAGCGTCAGCCTGCGGACTGAAGGGTCCCAGGTTCGATTCCGGTCAAGGGCATGTACCTTGGTTGCGGGCACATCCCCAGTAGGGGGTGTGCAGGAGGCAGCTGATCGATGTTTCTCTCTCATCGATGTTTCCAACTCTCTATCCCTCTCCCTTCCTCTCTGTAAAAAAATCAATAAAATAAATTTTAAAAAATAAAAATAAACCCATCGGGAGCCCAGGAAGAAACTTGGCTCAGGCTTCGTCCGTGTCTTTATCGGATGCCTCCCATGTCCTGTACTTTGCACTTTGGTCAGTGCCGCGGGCGAAAATGACCAAGCGTGAAACAGTGTAGCGCGTGGACGTGTTATCTAGCAGGAGAGGCAGACGGAGGACCATTAAACAAGCAAGTAATAATACTACTAATAATGACTCAGTCCAGCCAGCAGAAGGGAGGCGCAGGCTCCTAGGACAGGAGGTTATCTGGTGCCGCAGGCAAGGGGCCTGAAGGACTGAGAGCGAGGGAGCCGGCGACCGGGGGCTGGGAGGGGGCAGTGATTTCCACTGAGGACACACTGTGTCCCAAGGACAAGGGTCAAGGGCACGGGGAGGAACTCAGAATGGCCGGGGACACAGCTCGCAGGACCTCCTCTGTTCTCCGGCCTCTGCACCCCGAAATGTCCCGGGACAAACACTGTCCCAGGCAAAGGTGCCTGTTTCTTAGTAAAATGCTGAGTAAGGGTTAAGCGTTCGCCTTAGAACCAGGAAAGTGGTGGCTCTGGGTGGCGTGGTGCCGGCTCCAGCCGCCACCCCCACCCCCAGCCCGGGCCTCAGGAATCAAGCGATCCTGGGAAGTAACCTTCCATCCTGCGTTCTCGGAAGGATTATTATCAGCGATATGATTCACGTGTTTCTTGGAAACTTGCATACAGTTGGTTGACTTAAAATGAAACAGAAAAGACTGATGTTTTGGGTGGTTTTGTTTGTCTGTTTATTTTGCACTTCTCCTAAATTGTTTTCAGGAATTCTAAAATTAGACGTTTCCTTGCGAAAATTAAAAAAAAGAGAGAGAGAAATTTGGGGGAATGGGAGAGGACTTGGAGGATAAAATGAAAGTTGAAATCACAGAATTTAAAGTTTGGGAAGTCATGTTCATGAATCATGGTTACTTTAAGCTACGTTATTGCATTACTTTTAATGAATGATCATTGTCTCAATGGAGGTGTATCTGGTGAGTTGATTCTCATTCCGTGTGGCGTAAACATCAGAAAGCACGCTTTGTAGGGGATGCCCTCCTGCTCCCTTCTGAGGTTTTGTAGTAGTTCCTTTGTTACCCTTTGAGCTCACTTTAAAAAAAAAAATCTATTTTTATTGATTTCAGAGAGGAAGGGAGAGGGAGAGAGAGATAGAAACATCAACGATGAGAGAGAAGCATGGATGGGCTGCCTCCTGCAGGCCCCACACTGGGGATGGAGCCCGCAACCTGGGCACGTGCCCTTGACCGGGAATCGAACCCTGACCTCCTGGTTCCCAGGTGGACGCTCAACCACAGAGCCCCGCCGGCCGGGCTGAGCTCACTTTTTAGCTGTGCCAACCCTGTGCCTTTGCTTGTTCTCATGAGACGTGCGCGCGAGTCTTCGGTTCACAGTGAAAGCCTGTGCCATCTTCTTTTTTCTTTTCTCTCTCTCTCTCTCTCTCTCTCTCTCTCTCTCTCTCTCTCTCAGAGGTCTCCAGCTGCGTCCTCTGGCTGGAGGGCGGCCGGGTGCGTGCGCTATCTCCCTTTCTCCTTCGCTGATTGCTCAGGGTGGGAGGCGTCCGACTTGGGATTAATGGCCGGCCCGGCCCGTGTTACTCAGTAAACGGCAGCCTCCGCAGATACCGGCTCCTCCCCGCATTCCTGGCGGCTGATCTCTGTGCGTCTGCCTCTGTGTGCCGGGCGCACACGGTGTCTTTGAAGGCCTGGCACCGTTAATGATTAACATCTGCCCCCGAGTCGGGGTTTGCCATTCGAAGGGCCTGTGCCAACCAGGCAACTCCACCAACATGGCTACTTGGTCATCTCAGCAACCAGGAGACGCTGTCGGTGCTTCCCAGGTTCAAAGCACCGCAAGGGGTTCGAATACCCCTGATTTTTTTTTTTTAATTCTTTCTCTTCTGAATGTTTAAAATTCATTCAAAGGAAGAACATTCTGGCTGCTTTCCCTCTGACCTTATTTTTTTGCTCTTATGAAGTCTTAGGCCAGTGATTTTTAAAAAAAAATACATTTTTATTGATTTCAGTGAGAAAGGGAGAGAGAGAAACATCGATGATGAGAGAGGATCATGGATCGGCTGCCTCCTGCACGCCCCACACTGGGGATCGAACCTGCAACCCGGACATGTGCCCTTGACCGGGAATCGAACCGTGACCTCCTGGTTCACAGGTCGACGCTCAACCACTGAGCCACGCCGGCAGGGCTCGTTGGATTTCATTTAGAATGGATCATGCACATCTGTGCTATGTGTTCATGGACATTTGGTGTGTCAGGTGGTTAGAAGGGCAAGAGGTAAGGAGAGAGCAGTGTGGAAATCGAGTTTAAAATATCTGTGGCCCTAGCCGGTTTGGCTCGGTGGATAGAGCGTCGGCCTGCGGACTGAAGGGTCCCAGGTTCGATTCCGGTCAAGGGCATGTACCTTGGTTGCGGGCACATCCCCAGTGGGGGGTGTGCAGGAGGCAGCTGATCGGTGTTTCTCTCTCATGGATGTTTCTAACTCTCTATCCCTCTCCCTTCCTCTCTGTAAAAAATCAATAAAATATATATATTTTTTAAAATATCTGTGATGCTTCTCTAAGTTGGTGATGGGCCGTACAGGCTGCCGGCTGCCGATGGCGCCTTCCCCTGAGCCCGCGGTGACCGGGTGTCTGGGCTGCAGGGGCGGCCTCTGCCGGGCCGTGACGTGACGTGGTGTCGGGGTGTCGCCCTGTCCCAGGAGCTGCGGTCCCGCGAGGAGGAGCTGAGCCGGGCGGCCCTGCAGCAGAAGTCGCAGGAGGAGCTGCTGAAGCGGCGGGAGCAGCAGCTGCGGAGCGCGAGATCGACGTGCTGGAGCGCGAGCTCAACATCCTCATCTTCCAGCTCAACCAGGAGAAG